TGCACACAGCAGTCCTTGAGCTCTCCACCACGCCTGCTGCAGACAGAGTCACAGAGCCCCGTGGAGGACATGGGCTCAGCATCCCCTCTCCCTGGCAGGAAGGGGCTGACTGCTCCTCCCTGGCCGTGATGCCTGGCCAAGCTCACGTGCCATTTCCAAAGCTGGAGGCTCTGCTCTGCCAGGTGTGTGGTCTGGGAAGAGGTGGTGGTGCCGCCAGACACAAGGGCTTGATCTGTGCGCTCTGGAGAGCTGCAGAAACTGGCTATGCAGCCCCCCGCTGTCCCCTGTCTGCTGGAGGAGTGGGGTTCGGTGTCCCCTCCATGCCTGCCTCCCTCTGAAGAGCCAGGCACAGAAGAGGAACCTGCTCTGAAGACCTGTCTGGGGTTCTCCCAGCTGCCATGGAGAAGAACCCGACATCCTTTCTGCGCCAGCCTGCAGGACAGCCATTGCCAGAGAGCCAGTGCCTACCTCTGCGGTGGCTGCTGTAGCAGAGGATGTGGGAGGACATTTGAAAGCATTTAAAGACCTGTCCCCATCCCAGAACATGTGAGCAGAGCTGCTCTGGCAGGAGACGGGGAGGACAGGCTGGCAGTAAGAGGCCCCAGAGCTGAAGCAGGATTCCTGGTGCTGGGAAGAGCAGCTGGACCTACCTGGTGCTGCTTGCTAATGGGAGAAGCTCCATAGGGCCCCATCTCATGGGGGTAAAAAGCATCTCTGTCTACATTAGACGTGTGCACGTGTGCCCAGGTTGAGCTTGCGCTCTCTGCTCCCTTGGTGGAGGTGTCCTACAGGATGGAGCCTTCCCAATGCTAGGGCATGCTTTCCCCCATGGCACTGACAGAGTGAGGAGCAGGTGCTGCAGCGAGCCTGCAGGAGAGCCTGTGGGCTGCCATGGGTCTGGTTTGGCTGGGAGAAGCATTGTGCAGGTAGGTGGCAACCTGAGCACATTGGAAGACCCTTGTGCCAGCTGAACAGTCTTGCAGTGTGCAGGACACGGGTTAAAACCAGCCCCTTGGACGGGCAGGGTAGAGGAACCTGCAGCTTGGGTGGCATCATGGGAGCCAGCTGCCCTCGAGTAGCATGCTGCTGGGGGATAGGCTTGTGGTCCCTGCTCTGGAGCCCAGGCCAGGGCTGGGGGCAGCGGGGGTAGTCTTCCGTGGTGAAAACTGCAACGTGTCTTGCAAGCGTTGCCCGGTATGGAGCTGACTAGACAGCAGCAGCCATGATGAGTGGATGTGTTTCTAAACCATTGCCCATCTGCTAGCTAGCCTTCCGATATTGGTGCTAGTGTGTCAGGAGGGATGGTGCACACAGTCTGTATATACACACAGGTATAATGTGGCCCCTGATCGCCCCCATGAAGGTCTCCGCTTGTATCTAGCAGGGAAGCAGGTCCCTGCAATTGTGCCCCCCTCCGCCTGGTACAGCTATGCCTTCGGTGACCAAACCTGAGTCCTCTCTTGCAGCGTGTGATACAAAGAGTCAGAAAGGAGACGGGGTAACCCTGAAACCTGCTACTCGGCTTCTCAGTCTCCAGCATAATTTCTCTGCACCAGGCAGATGGCTGTGGGCTTTCCCTGGAGAAGAAGGGGTGGGAAATAAGTCCGTTTTGCTCCGACTAGAGACCATGGCTGTGGGCAGATGGCCATGCATCCTGGGCACTGCTGGCTGAAAGCTGTCCCTGCTTTCATCCCTGGGAGCAGGCTCGGAGGGAGGCAGTGGCCCTGCAGACAGCTCAGCCTGAGGGCTGCCTGCCCCGGGTATCCTGCTCTCCGAGCTTCAGGCACAGAGCGGGGCCACACCAGTGCTGTGGCTGCTGTCACCAGTGTTGCAGTGACAGCAGGGCAGGAGGCTGCCATCCCCAGTGCTGGCCCGCAGCGGTGGGCATGGTGGCATGGTGGTCAGCGCACGGATGTCGCCGCCTTACGTGGCAGGGCAGAAACCCTTCCCATGGAATGGCAAGTGCAGACTGAAACGTTTTCATTCAGTAACTGCCCAGTGCCAGCACGGGGGGGACCAAGCCATTGCATGGGGTGCCACAGCTCAGGGTGTCTCCAGCAGCAGTGCCTGACCCCCACAGTGGCTGGTGGGATTGCCAAGTGGCAGAAAAAAATCCAAAGCTTTTCTGATCTCGGACTTGCTGCTCGGGAACTGCCAAGCAATGTTGGCATCTTGTTGGCATCTGTGCCCTGGAGCCCAAGCAGAGCGAGCTGCTGGTCCAGTCTGGGGTTACTGCTTGAATCAGTTGCTGTGACCCCAGGGACACCAGCATCTTCAAGAGGAGAGGAGCAAAGCGTAGAGTCTCTGCTGGTCTCTGCTGGGCCCCGCATGGCTGCCCTTGTCCCGGGAGCGCTGTTGCTGCCTGGCCTGCTCTTGTGGGACAGGAGCCCTCTGTCCTGTCTCTGTGTCTGAAGTGTTTGCGTGTACACCGCCATGGCATCTACCTTCAGGTCCTGGGGTTGGCGGTCCCTGAAGTGTAACAAACTGCCTGGTGGTTTGATTGACATTTCCTTGGGGGGGGGAAAGTGATGGTTTCCTGCCGTACTGTGTGACTCTGCCGTTTACCATGGGTGTGCCCAGGTAAGTGTGCATCCAGGCAGAGGCTGTCTGGGGCACCGGGTTCCTCAGAGGCTTCCTGGCTGCCTCTGCAGCGCTGGGTTTATGCTGCCTGTCTGTGTGCCTAGGGTTGGTTCTGCCGTACTGTGTGACTCTGCCGTTTACCGTGGGTGTGCCCAGGTAAGTGTGCATCCAGGCAGAGGCTGTCTGGGGCACCGGGTTCCTCAGAGGCTTCCTGGCTGCCTCTGCAGCGCTGGGTTTATGCTGCCTGTCTGTGTGCCTTGCAGGCTCTGAAAAGGAAGCCGGACCTCTTCCTGTGTAGCAACCTGGACGTCAAAGCAGTGTTTCAGTGTGGTGAGTACCATGGGCACGGGCACGTGCTCCAGATCGCTCTCTGGAGAAGCCAGCCTGCTCCTCCTGTGGGGCTGGGGACCGCAGGGCTGATTTGGGATCGTGTGCAGGGTTTCTGGCTGCTAACCTGAGCACTTTCTGCCCGTAGGTGTCCTTTCGCTCAAGTTCCCTGAGGCCCCAACGGTCAAAGCATCCTGTGGCTTTTTCGTGAGTATTGTGGCATCGTACAGCTCCAAGGGGATGGCTGCAGCTCCCCGAGGGATGGGAGGGCAGGAGTGGGGCTGTGGGTTGGGCAAGGGCGCTGCAACGCGGAGCTTGCTCTGGCACTGAGCAAGCTGGGCTCTGTGTTGCAGACGGAGCTGCTGCCCCGCTGCGGAGAGATCGCCCCGGTGGGACAGGTCGTGCATGAGAACGGCAAAGTGCTGCTGCAGGCAGTGCTGGAGGTGAGAGATGCCGGAACCGCGGGCTCCCCGTGCAGCTTTTTGGGCTCTATTCCAGGGCGGCACCCCTGCCAAGCTGGAGGCAGAGAGCCCGGCAGCATGGGTGGGTGCGGGCAGGGTGATGCCAGGGGCTCAGCAGGGTCTGTCTGCTCTGTGGCAGGGTGTCGGTGGCCAAGCCTCCCGCAGCCTCATGGATCACTTCGCAGAAATCCTCTTCGCCTTGAACAAGCACTGCTTCAGCTATCTGAGTGTCTGGATCAAGGAGGCCATGCAGCAGGACGGCTTCCCCTCGGCCCGCGTCAGCCCCGAGCAGAAGGAGACCTTCAGCCAGCAGATCCTCAGGTTTGTGCACCCCTACCCTGTGGTGGCTGTGCACCACGTGCAGTGGGAACGACCCTCCTGCACGGCCTGCTGTGTGCCTCCCGCTTCATGTTTGTCCCCTCCCTCTGTCTTAGCAGAGAGCGTGTGAACAAGCGGCGAGTGAAGGAGATGGTGAAGGAGTTCACCCTGCTGTGCCGAGGGCTGCATGGCACGGAGTACACAGCAGACTACTGAGCACCTGGCCAGGACCGCGGACAATTTGCCCGGACCAGCTCTTACCCGCAAGGAAGCCCCCCCATCCTCCCCCTGCCCCGCTGCAGTACGGCTCATAGAATAACCCTCCACCTAGAATTAACCCACTCGGGACGCTCCTCAGCTAGATTTGGTGGCCGCATCTCGGTGTCAGCATCTTTGTTTCCCCCAGCATGCTCCCCCCTCGCAGGGGATGGGAGTGCCGGCTGCAGGAGGTGGCGGCGGCAGCAGCAGGGGGGGAAGCCTGGGCAGGACCGCCCCAGCACGGGCTGCCCCGTGCCTGGGCTACCAGCCCTTCCCCGGCACTTCCCCGTGGCTGCCGGTGCCCCGCAGCGGGGAGGCTGCCCCTGTGCCTGTGGCAGTGGCTGGCTGGGCAGGGGGGTTCGCCCCCTGCTCGTTTGTACGTGTGTGGTTGGGAGGGGGGAGGCCCTGCACCTAATTATATTAAGAATATTTCTATGTTGTGGCTGTTGTTATTGCAGTGCCCGGACTTTGCCTGCCCCTTGCCTCTGGGGAAGAGCCCAGCGGAGGGGGTTAAATCAAGGCTGGGATGCCTCGGAGCCTCCTCTCCCCCCTGGCTGCAGGAGGGATGGTGAAAACCAGTCTCCCCTGCTTGACATGCTCTCTTGCCTGGCGTGGAGCAGCTCATGGAGCAGAAATGGTCCTGCCCCACACGAGAGGGGTGCTCTCCTGCCTGGCATGGAGCAGCTCATGGCGCAGAAATGGTCCTGCCCCACACGAGAGGGGCCAGACTCCCTCCCCACCGAATGCGGGGTCCTCCCTGCAGCACGGGATGTGTGCACCCCACTCCTGTTCATCAGAGCAGGCGAGGGGCTTGCTAACGCTCAGAGCCCTCTCCCTTTTGCCTTAGTTCCCCAGCCCAGCCTGTGAACGTGGTTTCATTTCTGGGGGGTCCCAGTTCTGGTTTTCTGTTCTCAGGCTGGTTTTAGCCGACACCAGAGCGGGCACCATGATCTGTGTTTTCACTCTGGGATGTCTGGTATCACCCCTGCCTGCACTCCTCAGCCCATGTTTTATTCTAGAAGACAATTCACTCACAAGTCCTTTTCAGTTCAGCTTTAGTTAGCAGCAGTAGCCCACATAAGCCTCTAGTCCTGGCGCTGTCGGCTCGTGCGAAGCTGTGACCCTTCCCATGTAGGGCCAAAGCTGTCCTGGAGTGGGGAGCCCTTGGAGGCCAGGTCTGGGCCAAGCGCCTCTCCTGGCCCTGCTGCTGCCCTGGCCGTGAGCCCGGGGTGCCGCGGGCATCACCCACACACATGCAACTCCTGCTCTCCCACCGCAGTACTACTGACCCAAGGCCACACCCAGCACGGGGCCAGTTGGTGGCAGGTCCAGACCCTCGTGACCACCCTCACGGGTCCGACACCTGGTGACGCCCAGGCCCCTGCATGCCCCCTGCTCCTGGCTGGGTGCTGATGCTGCTGCCGAATCAGGGTTGCTTGCGCCCCTCGTCCTCGTAGGCAATGGCAATTCCTCGTCGGCCCTGCACAGCCTTGGAGACGGGCGTCTGCCCCAGCTGCTGCTCCAGGCCCCGCCAGCTGCGGGACTCCAGGAAGGAGGCTGGGAGGAGAGAGAAAGGGAATTGTTACTGGGAGCAGGGAGGCGGCACTGCCCCTGCACCGGGACTCAGCCCCACCACGAAAGTGAATCACAAACCAGCAGGGCTGATCTCTGCGAGGGCCCGCGTCTGGTCCCTGCAGGCCAGGGTGGTGCTGGGGGGCAGCTGGGGGGCCAGGGGGTCACAGAGGTGGGTGGCGCGCATCTCCCCTGTGATCAGCGAGATGTCAGGAACGGCCTCCGCTGCAGGGACGACCGGTGGGAGCTCAACGTGCGCACAGGCACCTGCCAGGAAATGGTAACGTTAGCCTGGTGCTCATGTCTATCCTCCGGCTGGCACAGAGCCGGGGCAACTGCAGCCTCCAGGCAGGGGAACAGGGCAGGACATGCCTCGGGAAGGTGTTGGGCAGCTGGTTTCCAGATGTTACCTGGCAGCAGGTCTCGGAAGTCAGTGAGGTAGTTCCCCGTCCATTCGCGGGCTGGGTTACAGGCCAGCTCCAGCTCATAGGGGGTCACAATGGGCCGGTAGAAGTCGCTGGAGTCCAGCAGGGAGTTCTGAGCGCAGGCCACCAGGACGAAGATGTCCACCTCCAGGAAGTTGGCCAGCTTGGCGGGGTTCGGCTTCCCCACAGCCAGCGTGTAACTGCGCTTGCCGGCCTGTCGCAGGAGCTCCCGGAGGTGCTGCAGCACGGCCAGGTAGCCCGCCACGCCGAGGGTGCCCACCAGGATGCCCACCACCCGGGCATCCCGGGCCCGCTCCACCAGGTAGAGGCGTCGCATCAGGGCCCGGTTGACGTTGAGGGTCTCGCGGCGGCCGCAGCCGGTGGCAGGGTCAAAGGAGCTGAAGGGGCAGCAGTTCCAGGTCAGCATGAAGCTGGTGAGGGCCAGGCCCTCGGCTCCCACGTAGAACATGGCGCAGTCCTGCAGCCCTCCCGGCGCCTCCACCAGGAACTGGCGACCAAACCGCCACACCTCCCTGGGTGGTGCAGGGCCAGGAGGGTCCCCGCACACCACCCTGGAGAAAACGATGTTGGGGTACTCGGGGCACAACTGCTGCTCCAGCTCACCTGAAGGGAGAGAGGAGTGAGAACGAAACATGGCCGCAGACCTGACCTGCAGAAGGTGGGACAGCAGATTAGGGGAGAGGAGAGGACAGAAATCAAGGCTGACAGTGTCTGGGGACTGCCTGCCTGCTGCTGCCTCTCCCCCTGGCAGCTCTGCAGAGCTCGGAGCAGCACCAGAGACCCCCTCCCTGCCCCAGAGCACTCACCCATCGCGTGGGCATAGACCACATCGCTCAGCACCACCACACGGCTCTGCCGGTCGGGGTAGAGCTCCCGGAAGGCCTCTGCGCAACGCCCGATGTCCAGGGGCTGCTGCCCGAAGATGTGCAGCACCGGGAGCTTTCTGCAGGGGCTGAGGCAGGCCGGCCCGTAGTGCAGCACCGCCTCGGCACCCACGTGCTCGGCGGCCACTTCGTCCACACAGCAGCTGCGGGGAGGACCCGGTGTCAGACGGGCTCCGCACCGCGGAGCTCCTCCTCCTCCCTGGCACCGCTGTCCCCAGCCCGGGCAGCTCCGGCCCTCGGCCCCGCCAGGCGGGGGACGAGCAGCCCCGTTCCTGCCCGTGGAGGACCCCCGGGACGCCCCCCGCGGCCCCGCACCGACCTGCCGTACGTGGTGTCCCCCAGGACGTACATCTCGGCCGCGGTCG